CGTGTGTGTGTGTTTTCATAAGAGTTTTGTTTTTTCAAGCAATCAGGCTCCGAGGTAGTGGAACTCCGATGCATCTGATACCAATCGCGTTCTCTTACCCTCCAAATGTGAATGTTTGGCACATGGCAAGAGAGGATCTGTGGCGATCATGACGATAGCTAACGCTGACTAACGGTCAGTGCGGCATCGAGGCAGCGGGCCTCAAACGGAACTCGTTAGCCATCAGCAGATCAATGTGTAACTCCAGACAAAAAAACAGGGCGCAAAAGAGATAGAAAAAGAGCAGACGATGCCAGTTTCTTAGAGGAGAACCGTGGGAGGGAGGGACTCCTTCGTTGGGATGAAGAGGGAGGGGAGGGGAAGCAGGGGGAGCGGGAAAAGGGGGAAGAGGAGAGGGCAAAGCAGGGGGAGGGGAGCCAGCGGAAGAGGAAGGAGGACACGAGTACTCCGGCAGACAGAAGGGGAGGTGTTGGGATTAGGATATGGGTGTGAGGAACGGAGGCAGATAGGAGAAGGCAGTGGTGAGCTCCAAGGAGAGGAGGAGATAGAGAGGGAGAGGAGGAGATAGAGAGGGGAGAGGACCACGAGGTGCAAAGGACGAAGACGAGCAGGAGGAGGCAGAAGATGAAGGAACGAGTGGAATACCCTACCACGGCAACCCCAGCTGACAATATTCTGTGTCATGGGAGACGTCGGGAGGAACAGCAGGGGTAGCAGAAGGAAGGGGAAAAAAGAGATAGACGAAGAGGAAGAGAGAAGAGAGAAGGACGAGGAGGAAGAGATGCAGGGAAGAACAAGGGTAGGGTCCGAAATGCACAGAGTGCAGGTTTCATCAACTAAGTAACGAATGAGAGGACGAGGTGGAAGAGAAGGAAGAGGAGGAAGGAGGAGGAAGGGGGCGAGCGAGGTCCGACATTGCGAAGCTTGTAGCGCGTTCCTGAGCTATGGTAATGTTCGAGCAATAAAGACTCTTCATTTGCTTGGACGCTTCGCAATTGGGCTCGCTATTGTCATTTCATTTCTTCTTCTTCTTCATCTTTTTCTTCTTCTTCTTCTTTTTCTTCTTCTTCTTCTTCGTCTTCGTCTTCTTCTTCTTCTTCGTCTGCTGCTGCTGCTGCTGCTGCTGCTGCTGCTGCTTCGTCTCCTGCTCCGTGTGACGTGCTCAATGGAACCTCTGCCTTCTTCATCTTTCTTCTTCTTCTTCTTCTTTTACAACTATTACGACTACGGCTACTACCACCACGATCCCGACGTGCCTGCCACGAGAAGGGATGACCTTACCCAATCTTTGCTTCCCTTCTTCTCAAAAAAAAAAAAAAAAAAAAAAAAAAAAAGTCCCCTCTTTTCCCTCCCAACTATGATCCCGACACGCGTTCCATGTGGCACAACGAATCCCATTGCTCTCTCCTGATATCTTCTTCTTCTCCATCTTCATTTTCCACCTGCTTCTCCTCGCACTCCTCCTCCTCTCTCTACTTCATCCTCATGCTGATCAGATACCGTTGTGGTTGCCACGTTATAACTCAACGAACCTCCCCGCCTTATTTCCTTATTTCAATACTCCTCCCGCTCTGGGCTCGACAACGCGGAAAAATGCGCTAAAAGTCTCTTTCACCTTATTTCAATACCCCTCCGCGCTTTTACGACTTTCACAACTTCACGTACTGTAATTGCTCACTTTTTTTTCTTTTTTTTTTTTAATTGCTCACTTCCGCTTTCCGCTTTCCGCTTCTTTTCTTTTTTTTTTTCAGATGCTCTTCACCTACCTCATCGTGTATAAATACGTACCTGTCTGCGTGTGTGCACATCACAAAAGCGGCAGCTTTATACCCAGCACATTTCTCGATCTTTGCGTGTCATCCTTGGCACGGGCCATGCTAATCTCCTCCGTATCGTTCCAATTATAACGGATGTCCCGAAGGACTTCATACGCAGCACAGCTATCCTCTTCGCCTTCATTTTTTTTGCCTGATTCATGCAATGTTGTGAATGAATAGCTGTTGGTCTCACCGACGACTGTCTGTTAGGGCCTCGTTAGACCCTCCTTCGAAGCCGATTTTTAGGAATTCGGAGTCGTTGCACGCCTCCTTTTTCTCCAAATTCCTTGGAAAAATGTGAAAACCCGCCCCAGAGAATTCCTTGGCTTCCTCAGAATCCCCAGCCAAAACGTCCTTGGATTGTAAGGGTCCTCACGCCTACAGTAGAATTTGGAGTGATGGTGGTGTAGAGGTCGTTCGTGGTCCATCGGGCCGACCCCGTTCGCATCAGGCGGACCCCGCCGGCCTCCAGTAGCCGACGGGCCCGCAACGGCATTGTACTCGTGGGGGTGGTTCTTCAGCTCCAAGGCCCTTGGAGTGGCGGGGGTTTCGTGCAGTCAGGAGGCATGGTGTCCAACGGTCGAGTTTTTTGACTTTTGTACGGCCGTGTGCAAGCAGTGCCGGGCAACTGCAGTCCTCGCGAGTGTGTATTGTCGGCTATTGACGGCGGACGGGAGAGAGCTTTGTTTGCTGCACTCCTAGACATCCTCCGGCGGGTCCCGCTCCTGCTGCTGGCCACTCTTCTCCTGCTCCTTGTTGTCTTGTTGCACGTCTGTGTCGTCGTGCGAGGTCCTGGCAGCAGACAACAACGATGAGCGGTGAGGAAGACGACGATGGACAGCGGGAAACCTCCAGCAGAGAGCAAACGAGTGCGATCGACTTCTCCACTCCAGGACCAGTGGGAAGGGCGCCTCGTACAGCCGCATATGACCCAACATTGTACAGCCATCTGCCACCACACGAGCAGCCGTTACCGCCGGATCCAGAAGAGGAATGGGTGGAGGATCTGTCCCACACTTTGCCTCTGGGGAGCGGATCTACGCAGGACTAGATGAGGAGCCATTGTAGACAACGGGAGGCGGAGACAATTCGTCAGTCGTTCTTTTCAATGTTGGAGGAGGGTATCGGTGGAGGAGAGATGGAGATTGTGGACTTGGATTTTGGCTTGTCAAGCGGGACTGCTGCAGCCGGCGTGAGCGCGGGACAAATGTCAGTGCATGGGGTGGGAGGGGTGGGGCCTGGTGGAAGGTCCTATCCGCAGAATGGCAGCGCAGGTGGGTGTCATCCGGCGCCTTCCTTTCCTCGAGGCGCGGGATCATCTAGCGAACATGGCGAGGATAATGGTGCCCCCTCCTTCAGCAACGCCTTCGCTTACACCACGGCAAAGGGTGGTCGGACCGGCGGCGAGCACAAGCAGCACCGGAGTAGAAGAAAGTGGCAGGCAAGTGTGGGAGTCCTATCGGCAACAGATGCGCCGACCGGGCGTGGAGAACATAACGAACGGGTTGTCGAGGATGCGTGTGGGAAGCGACGGCAATGCAGACGACTCCTAGAGGGTGAGTAGTGATGAATCTCCAGATGTTCTTTGTGAAGACGAAGCGGAAGACGTGGATGACTTGGAGATTCAACTTGTGGCTTTGCGTGGTAGAGGAAGGGGCAGAAGCGGGCATCAACATAAGGTCGTTTCCCGTGTTGGTCGTCGATTGAAGGGTCCTGCAAGCGAGAAGCGTGGCAAACATCCGGCATGGAGTGTTGAAGAGATGCTCAAACTCGCCCACACAAAGTGGGATCAGCAAGCTCATCTTGATGGAATGCCGCACAACTATGGGCGGATGCGGAATAGGGAATGGACTTTGCAGGACATGCAGAAGCGTTTGGTGGCGGTGGGCATGAACAACACGACTGACGACATCGGTAAGAAGTAGGATAACCTCTTCCAAGATACAAGAAGGTGCAACGATATCAGAACGCCTCTGGGGGGAAGAACTTCTTCAACTTAACGTCTGCGTTGAGAACTGAAGAGGGCTTCAACTTTCGGGTGGACGAGCGTGTGTACCTTGAGATCGACAACATGTCCAAGGGCAATAAGATCATTCACCCGGACAACCTCGCCGACATGAGCGCCAGTGGAGGAGTGCGGATGTTACGTGCCCTGTCAAGGGAGGTGTGGGTGATGGCAACGACGACGATGGAGGCTCAGCGAGGGAGTCCGGCTTCGGTGCAGGCAGCACGGGAAGGAACGCCAAGAGGAAAAACATGCGGTGGCAGACATTCGACGTCATCACCGAAGTCATGGAGAAGCACGGTGCATTGATGGCTGACACTGTGGAGGGGCCAAGCAAGCGACAGTGTTCCATTATGGAGTAGCGGTGGGACATACTCGAGCGGGAGGTCAATGCCCGACAGTGGCACTACGAGGCGTCCGACGAGGCGAATAGGATGATATGCATTGCATTGTTGGAGATCGCACAACAATTAGGGACATATCATAATGTCGCTTCAGTTCCTGTATCCGCCGATGTTCTCCCGCGGTCGGTCGTCATGTCGATGCATCTCTCGGCATTGCCTCCCTCACTTGTTCTCCGTCGGTGCCACAATGATGTCGGTCATTCCAGACAGTTTAGTTGAATGCTCGTAGTACGTGGTATAGTCGGGGTTTGGATTGTTAGTTCAGTTTAACGGTTGTAGCACGTGACATTGCTAGGAGTTGGATTGTTTCTTTGTTGGGCCTTGTTTGTGTGTGTATATATATATATATATACGTTAGAGGCACGGTGGAGGAGGAGTTAAGAAGACTGAGAAATTGAATGATTTCAATGTATCTTTATTTTTTATTGTTATCCTTTATTCAGTGTAAAAACATTTTGTAAAACACTGAAAGAAATAAGAATACAGTGAATCAAAGAAGAAGACACTGTTTTGTGTCATTCTAGTTTGTCTGTCTCTTTGCCTGTCTGTCCTTTCATTTTTCTTTTCTTCGCTCATCTTGTTTCTTCTTCTACTTCACGTGCTTACGCTCTTAGTCAATAGTTTTGTGATAATATATATATATATATATATATATACGGTGAAACTCCGACGAAACAGTTTGTCACAGCCCCTCGTTTGTTGTCCTCTTCTCCCTCTCTGCCTACGGTTTACCGGGCAGTTCAACTTGACGATATATATGTATATATATTTTGGAGGAGGCACTTTCCTGGTTTCGTTAGCGATTCGTCTTGACGACCTGTCCGTGCTTGTAGTTTGTGTTTATGTGGTGGGAAACATAGATTACGTGCCGCGAGCTGCAGCGCCTTCGTTATATTTTATGCACGGGACGGTTTTCGTCCACTTCTTTGTGTTTATTTTGCAAGCAATTGCAAGGGTCGTTTTTGTGGATACTTTGCACAACTCTCTCTCTCTCTCTCTCTCTCTCTCTCTCTCTCTCTCGCTGTGTGTGTGTGTGGAATGATGTTTCAAAACAACAAATATGTGCATTTATGGGAATGGGGTACAAAACACAAACATTAAAAGACCCATCTTTGAACCCAAATTTGACAAGGATTTGTATTCAAGTTGATGACATGGCATGCTTCCACTAACTTCGCATCCTTGGTTTTCATTAATCCACACCTCCGATGACTACAGACACACACAGAGAGAGAGAGAGAGAGAGAGAGAGAGAGAGAGAGAGATTAACGACAACAACAAACGAACGTATATGAAAGGAGTCGGGGGTGGATGATCGTACCTATCGATAGCCGATGGTGGGGGTCCAGGATGAGGGGGTTGTCGGAGTGTGGTTTCATGTTAGGGGTGGCGTGACTAAGGGGTGGGAGCTCTTATGAACTGCCTTGCTGGTGGCTTGGGGTACAAGGTCGTCCCGAAGGCGAGAAAATTCAGAGTGTCGTGCACGCATAATAGTCCGTGGTGGCCGAGCGGAAGGCGTACACATTGCTAGGCAGTCGGTCACTTGACATGGGCACACCGACCTGTGGATTATGGGTTGTCCGTCGAGGGCTCTTGAACTCTTGTTGTTGGTTTGCATTTATGAAATCCACGTCATCTCGCTGGGAGCGCGTCGGGGCAGGGATTGGGCATGTTGTAAAGCACTATAAAGGTCAGTGCAGATCTGTTGTTGAGTATGTGCTACGCGCCCTAGGTATCAATGCCTTGTCTTGCCTGAGGATTGTCTTCCACGGCACCAGGAATTCATTGTAGTCGCCATCGCTATACAGGTGCGCTATCTGGCCAGGGTGCCTCCATCATTGGCATAGTAAGCGAGCACTCACCAATCTCTCTGCTGCGGCGTCCACGTCACATGGCACTCTCATTCACTGTTCTTTTCAGGAGAGGCGAGATCGATCGGTTGTGCATGGCACCACGTGGACAGTCGCAGTTAACAAGGCGAGACAACGGATCCAGCGAAGATGGGGGCGAGCAGAGCGGAGGGGGACACGTCCCATAGTCCAAAACATCGCGTGTTGACGGATCAGAGGGTGCGATGGGGGCTTAGGGAGGATAAGATGTCTCGCCTGTGGATGTCCCTTGAACGGAAACGTCGACACTTGGATTTGGGAGGGACGGCGTAAGCAGGGAGCGCTACATTGGACTAGCCTCCCTTGGTGTGTCGGGAATTACACATGTCGGTGGGAGTGGGAGCGTGCGTTTGCAAGGGATCATCATCACCAACTCGGCACCACAAAGGTCTGTCACTTCAACGGCGACAATCGTCTCAGTTGTGGAACGCGTCGACAAAGGACCTGTCCATTGGAACAGGCGCGCCACGGGGAACCTTCGAGCACCATTGCAGTCGTCGGCTCGTCAAGGAATGTTGTTTCATTGTCACGAGCAGGAAGCGCGATTGTCCAGGGCATCACCAACACTGGGGGGGAGAGGCAAGAAGAAGGAAGGCATGAGGAGGCGGGAAGGAAAGACGAGAGGAGGGAGCAAACTCCGCGGTCGGACGACGATGATGACGAGTCTCTTAGCAGTAGAAAGAAAAAAACGCGGCAAAAGGAGGAGTTGGAGGCGAAGTCAAAGTTGTGGACAGACAGGTAAACATTATGGGGAAGTGGACTTGGTCGCCTCATTGCGGATGTTGTGCACGCTGGTGCAGACTACTATTTCACGATCGACAATGGTGATGTAGGAGTCATCGCTTCGCACAACCTCATCATGCCACCTCTCGACGTTTCATGCTTACGAATCGACGATCCTGCGCAACGAGAGCCAACTTTTTGCCGAGCGAGGAAGACGGAGAATGTCGCTATGCGAGTTACCAAAGATGGTTTCGCCTGCGCTGAGTCGTATGTCACCATTGATTACTTGAAAGATCTGGCGAGAGCAGTGTGGTAAAGCGTGGAGTGGTCGAGGGTGGTCTCTCCTAGCGTGGTTTGTCATACGCTTGCTCTGAAGATGAACATTCTAGTTGTGGTATGCATGGGCACTCATCGAGGACAGTTCGAAGGACGATGATATGGTTGCCAATCAGGAGTCCACGGTTTTGTGGTTGGCGTCATACTTTTACGATGCGCTCTGAGGCAGTCAATGGTCCGACAATGGAAATTTGTTTCAGTCAAGGTGTAGCAGAATTGGGGATGCCTTCCGCTTGCTTCTCACTGCGTGCATGTGGATCATGCACATGAGAGGCAACAACGTGTGCTCTCACGAGAAGGCGTGCTACTACTCGCAACTCGTGGGGAACTACACTGATGGCAGCAGCGTTGCAGACCTTCAGCTGGAGTAGGCATATAGTCCAGTTCGCAAACGCAATTTTGACTCGCCTTGGAAAGCCGCCTTTGACGATGGGTGCGTTTCCCAACTATATTCCGGAGTGGGCGGCATGCAGAGTGCGCTTTAACTACACCGCTGGTATGGGGGAAGCCGACTTCGCGACAAAGATGGAGTCGATGGGGATAAAACCTTTCGATGGCGAAGGGAAGGAGGAGGACGGAGGCGATGGCGATGGAGGGTCGTAAAAGTCATCATAGTGGCAGTCATGTACCTTGTTTTCGTCTTGTTTGTCGATGAAGTGGAAGCATCCATGGTTGTTGGCGCGAGGGGGGAGTTCCTTTGGGCTTAGTTCGCCCGATGGGGCTTTGTATGTAGACGGGCGGTCTGGTGGTGAGGTTGCTTGCGAGTGTGCTTAGTTTCGATTCACGTGTGCGATTGTGTGTGTTTGTCGTGTTCGTTGTTTTTTCGCATTCCATGTAAATATCCTTCGTTATTTCCAGTGTCTGATGTATAAGAGTTCATCGCCCACTCATTGCATGCGTCAATTGAATGATGCAAAATCAAAGAGTAACCAACTCATTGTTCGGTGCACGTCTTAGCTGCATCGATTGTTATTTTGAAACACGTGAAGATAGACACTGAATGTGTGTCAAACTTTGGTTATTTGATAGTTTGATAGTTTGATTGTTTGATTGTTTGATTGTTTGATTGATTGATTGATTGATCGATTGATTGATTGATTGATTGATTGATTGATTGATTGATTGATTGATTAATTGATTGATTGACTGAATGATTGATTGCTTGATTGCTTGATCCATTGGTTAATTGTTTGATTAATTGCTTCATTGGTTTATTGCTTCATTGATTGTCTGATTGATTGGTTGGTTGATCAATTGGTTGATAGATTGATTGACTGATCGTTAAACTATTACAACAGAAAAATTCCCACGAGAAATGAAAGTTGAAAAAACATTCCATAAAAAAAAAAATCCTTCATATTTATGAATTATCATTCCAATGTTTGTCCAATTCTAAAATTTTTAGTTTTATTTGATAAGTTCCCGTCTAAGTATGAGTTTTTCCTTCCAACTACATCTATTTGTTCAAGATGGAATGAAAGTCTGGATGAGTTTATGAAATATTTTAAAGTAACGTTCATTCTACTACAACAAATATCTTATAATTTAGATTGGATTAACCTATTTAGGACTGAAAATCCTTACTTAGAATGACAGTCCAATTAAAATATTTCACGAACTCATCCAGACTTTCATTCTATCTCTAGCATGTAGTTCAAATAAGAAGGGATACACTATTCTTGGAAGGAAAGTTTTCAAGTAAGACGAAAAATTTTAAAATTAGAAAAACATTTTTTAAGATGGAATGAAAATTTGAAATTTATAATGTAATTTTACTATACAATGTTATTTAATTCTGGAAAATTTTTATGTTGTATATTAATTGACTGATTTATTGAATGAGCGATAGATTGAGTGACTGATTTGTTGATTGATTGATCGATTGATTGATTTATTGGTTAATTTATTGATAGATGTATTCATTGCGTGGTCGAGCGCACTGCAGAATTGCGGAAGAGGGAGAAACAAAAAACACATTTAAGAAAACAAAAATCAAAATCGTTTCTAATAAAACAAGAATCACCCAGACATATAAAATACATTGAACAAAAAATTGACGAGGAGAAAACTTCAAACCCTTACATGCCTAGACGGTTGTCGAAGGAGGGCGAAATCAAGCATTGAATAGGTTTAAAACAAACAATAAAGGCGATAGTGCCGTCTTCATAAAATCGGTGATGGAACACCCCTCCATCACTCTTCAAATGTTCGACAACAGAAAAAAACTAATAACAATAAAATGGGGAAAAAAAATTGCACGAAGCCGGTCAGCGACGGTGTCGAGCGCATCGGCCCTCGCGTGAACGAGGGCCCTCCTGGCTATGTTACGCAGGAGTTAGAAAAACATAATCGAGAGACAACTTAGGACGGTGCAGAAATAATCCCGCGAACCGCTGAGACGGACGTGGTCGCATTGTCCCTTCGTTGCTCTAGCCGGGTGCGCCAGCTATACATCCCGCGGTCCCCTACGACAGGATAGGTTTTCGCGGGGCACAACTTATCTTCCCTGAGGGGCTGTCACCACCCTCACGGGCGTATCCCTACCGAGCTACTGACCCACGTGCGAAAGCTTTTACATGCAATTGCAGAGGTAGGTCAGCCGAGGGCGTTTGCTCGCTCGCTGGAGTATAGGTACGCTTGGCTAACGCCAAGTGGACCCAAACGTTGTTCGTTCCCAAGGGCGCTGATCTCCTCGGTACGAACGAGCGTCGGTTGACTGAGACGGCCTCGACCAAACGCGAAATCCAACATATAATCCTAGCCCCTTTATAATCCCCTACTCATAAAATGAACAAAACCAATACATAACCAACATTTCGACTTGATGAGATGATATGCCAAGGTTATCATTTCCTGCCTACCTGACTGAAGAGACAATTATACCGTCATCCAAGGACGAAAGATCCGTCGCGCACAGCCTCTACAAGTAAATACATGCAGATCAACAAGTGATCTGCTTCCTGGTCGATGTTTAAACTCCCGGTCCGACCGCACCGTCGTACCACACGCATCTACTTGGAGGAGCGAATGACAATTTTGTTTGTCGCTTTGTCCTCCTAGGCAATAATTACTCTTTCTGTTCCACGAATGACGAAGTAACCATTGTCAACACCAGGTTACTTGGCGTGGGACTATTTCGTTTTCTGTTACCCCGTCCTCATTGTTCCGCTCGACACCTCTTCAAGTGTTCGGCCTTCGCTTTGTTCAGCGTATTTTTAAGTGGTTGATTANCCACATGTCTGCCTGTCTGCCGCTCCCCCGTGGATGGCTGCCCATCTACGGCTTAGGGGTCACCCAACGGGTAGGCCGCGACATCGACTTGCCGGACCTCTCTGGCTCGAAGTCAACCCCCACGTCCCAGGAAAAAATAAAACTCCCTTTTTCCCCTGCGCCACGGCCCTATTCTAGGTAGACTAGGTCTAGCTTTAGTCTTTCCATTTCCGGGCACCACCGCGGCCTTGCCGAAAATCACGGATGACAGTACCGACTCCCGTAACCCGCACGGACGTCGATGTCATCCTGTGTCGACGACGTCAGGTTCAGAAAAAGCTTAAGTCTCTCATTCATAAGGTTGGTCTGAATAAACTTTGGCAACGTCAATCTCATCAAGTCGTCCAATTTAGTGGAAAGGTCAGACAAACACGGGCAGATACCCTTGTCAGGGTTTCTGCCCCGACAGCATTCCCGGACCCCATTGAACGACTTCCACATCGTTCACGTGGTCGGTGCTCTAAGTATAAAATTTTACGGATACCTCTTTGAGTATCTTTTAATCTTAATAATACCACAAATACTTTAACGAACAGATATCCGAAAAACGGACTTCTTACTATTACACGAGTTATGCCCTCGAAGCCAAAATTCACAATCATTCTGCACTCATCGGATTGGTACCAGATTCAGCCCCTGGAAGACCAAAATTCGAAACTTAGGCCCAGATTCATCCCCTAGAAACCCAAAATTCAAAGGACCTTATTCTAATGGTTCTGGCTAAAAAAATTCATTCGGTTGGAAAACATTATTTTAATCATCTGGGCAAGCAACCATCACCGCCGGGAATTTGACCCGGGTTCCTCATGTCGATGGGGATGCATCCACAACACCTCAACACACTCACGTGTCGCCAGGAGTTTAACATGGACCTCCCACGTAACACAAGGATACTCGTATACTACAGTCACGGTTATCGGGGACGATAATAGCAAGGCTCCGGCTTTCCACCATCCCTTTCGGGAAGTCCCGTATTAACCTTCAGCTAGTTCCCAGAATGAGTCAGGAATAACCCCTGTCAGGCCTCCATAACCCAACCTATGATAATCGTTCAGACATGATCTGAACTAGCCATCCAATACAAGAACCTTTTATTTAAGTCCTTTACCCGAGTTCCATAACCCATCCGATTGTGCAACTTTACAAATACCTAGGATTATTATGTTTAATATCCCCGAATTCCATATGGCTGCGTCGAGGAGTGTTGTAATCCTCCACAAAGGATAACATCCCGATATCAAGCCCCGCTTTAGATTCGAGCCTCACGATATTCCCTCCGATTTCAGTATCGCAACTTCATTAATGCCACGCCTACAAGGCGAGACAACCCCATGCATATAATCCAAGTTGGTCAGACGAGGATCATAAGGACGCGGCGACCCTGCATATCACAAGGATAGACGACCA